TTTTTTGAGGAACCTCCATACTGCTTTCCACAATGGTAGAACTACTTTACATTCCCACCAGCAGTGTAAGACGGTTTCCCTTTGTCTGCATCCTCGCCAACATTGGTTGTTGTTTGTCTTTTGGATGGTATCCATCCTAACTGGTGTGAGGTGATATCTCATTGTGGTATTAATTTGCATTTCTCTGATGATTAGCCATGTGGAGCATCTTTTCATGTGCCTGTTGGCCATCTGAATTTCTTTGGAGAAGTGTCTGTTCAGATCCTCTGCCCATTTTTTAATTGGGTTATTTGCTTTTTGTTTGTTGAGGTGTGTGAGCTCTTTATATATTTTGGATTTGTCATTTATGAATATATTCTCCATACTGTAGGATGCCTTTTTGTTCTACTAATGGTGTCCTTTGCTGTACAGAAGCTTTTTAGTTTGATATAGTCCCACTTGTTCATTTTTGCTTTTGTTTCCATTGCCTGGGGAGATATGTTCATGGATCAGTTTTTCAATGTTAAACTAACCTTGCATCTCACCATAAACTCCATCAACTATTTGGATGGTAAATGAGACTTGATTCTTTTCCATTCTTTACTAGATTTCAAAATGTGTTAGTTCTCTAGAATTCCCCCAAAATGGCTGATGGGGTTTTTCTTTTTAAGAAAATATTATTTTGAGTACTATGAACTACTAGACTTATATGTTTGATGTTTTCATCTCTGGTACCTATTATCCTTATTAAAGCCCCTCGGGGACTCCTTTACATGGCTCCTCATGAGTATTTTGGGCACAAACCTAGGAGTCTTTGATAATTGCCCTGTTTTTGTGATGACAAAATGCTCCAGGCTTCCCTTGGGACTTTCCTTCTCCAGATTTGGAATCAGCCGTTTCTCCAGGAGCCCTGGTTGTTTTTAGAGAAAAATAGTATTTGAGGCCACAGTCTGGGCCCCACAGTACAGTACTCCCTGCTACCAGACAGTTGTTATTGCTAATGGATACATATTTTTTAAAGAGAAAGTTTACGTACTGTTGCATTCAAAGGCTTTTACCTCACTTCTTTGGTTTTATACTTTAATTTTTCCTTACATTGAAAATCTTTGCTCTTAATGACATTAACCTAAAAACTTGTTTTGTCCTATAATATATAATAGTGGCAGAATAATAATACCCACGTTATTACTAACAATATGTTCAGTGAAAACAGTTTAAAAACTTTGAGAGTCTTTATTTGTTCTTTTATGTCCCACTAGAGGAATGTATGTCACATTTCTGTCCTTTAAAGTCACTTGGGAAAGTTCTCTGGGTGATTATGCCACTAACTGCATATCCAGTTAGATGGATTGGTTTTGCTTGTCTTTTAGTTTTTAGTCAGTGCTTTAAACTTTATAGTTTTGTTTTAATTATCTAAGATATTTACATGTAACATGTAACCATGCTGGACTTTATCTGAGCCCTGTGCTCCCAGAAAACAGTGATCATCAAAGGAAACCCCTCATCCTTTGTGTTCCAGAAAAGCAGCGTACTGCAGAAAGCCACCTTTCCCCAGGTGACTTAAGCGAGACCCACGGATGCACCCCTTCCCTTGTTTATTTATGACAAAGCCAGAGACAGACCCTCCCAATTCCCATCCTCGTAAATGATTAGCTGAACAGTCTGTCTCCTCTGATCCATCAGAACAAAATGCTTGTTAACCAAACTGTGGTTCAGTTTCTCTCCCTCCTCCAGGACCCTGAACTTTGGTCCAGTCCCAGCCTGAGCCAGGAGATGTCCCCTTCTGAGAACAGACTGCCTCGGGGTAAAGCATTCTCTTCTAGAAAGATTGGGAAAGTGGGCAAGTGGGATGTGAAAACCTTGTTTACGCCCCTCCAGAAAAAAAGCCCCTCTTTGTCAGACCCATGAGCCCGTGCAGATCTGACAGTAAAAGCGTCTTCCCTTCTGCAATATTTTTCACCACTGTAGCAATAGATCCTTTCCTGCATTGCAATAATCATTTCAAATTAAAGTTTCCTCACTCAATCCAGCTTTGTTTTTTTTAATGTTTTATTCATTTTTATTTTTTATTTGTTTTGCTATTTGCTTCCAAAGTCACATCTGTGAGACCAGTCGTGTTCAGGGGTCTGCTTTTGTATCTGCCCCCACCCTTTCCCTTATGGCTGCCTCTCCCTGTAAGACACTTTTTTCTTGTTTAGTTTGGGTTTACCCTCTCATTTTAAAAAATACAAGGCAATACTGTTATATGTGGTTGTATCCTGGCTCCTGTTTTTAAAGAGTATAGGCAGCCAACTAGACTCACCTTTTCTCATTTACAGGTAAGAGTCAAGCCTCAGCCACCTAAAACCTCTGCAGTTTCAGATTGAAAAGCTGTAAATGGGGGATCCTGGGGCTCAATGAGGTTTCAAAGAAAGTGCCTTGTAAATCAGTAGTCCTCCAGCTTGAGTGTGCCCCTGAGCTTCTGATGAGGCCTGAGGTGGGAGGCTGAGAATTTGCATATCTCAAAGCTCTCAGGGCCCTGGCTGCTGCAGCAGGTCGCCATGCCAGAGTTTGAGAACCACCGGTATGAACTCCGCTCAAGGGCAGGGCAAACGTGAGTCTTAGTAACACATCTCTACCTCCGAAAGCAGGGCCTAAAGGGGTCGGCAATGGGAGTGTAGGGCCTGGCTTGACTAGACCTAGGCCTGCTAGTTTGGTTTGGGGTTTCAAAGGCCTCCCTCCCCAAAGGGTAATCCATGGACCAGAAGCTTCTGCTGAGATTTTGTTAGAAATGCAGAGCCCGACCCAGACCTACTGCATTAGGATCTGTGGTTTGTCAAAGCGCCAAGGGGAGTCTGCACTCCTTAAAGTGTGAGAGGCAGTGCCCGGCTCCCATGCCCTCTGGTTTCTCCACCCATGGTGGCTGCGCCTCCCCCACCAACTCCTGAGAAGAATGCAGGGTCCTGGAGGCAGGGCCTTCGTCTGCTCTAGTGCTGAGACAGTGCTGTGGGCATAGCAGGCACTCAACACTTGGGGAGAAGCTGAATAGGTAGGAGGATGGACCCTCTAACCAACTGAATGGGCTTCTCTCCTGCTGCTCCTGAGGAGGCAGGGCCAGGCCCCCCAAGGCTGACCCACCAGCGGCACCTGGCTTGGGGACCTGCTGGGCACACGGTGCCGGAAGCCCCGGCCTGCTGCAGCTGGAGGGCCTATTCCTGAGGCCCCGGCTCTCCCCCTCTTCACGGTTTCCAGAGAGGCCAGGCAGATCCAACTCCCCAACGAATCGGCTCCCCGATGGGCGATGGCCCGAAGCTCCTCGGTGCCGGGGATTTGCCCACTAAGAACTTCTCCTGGAAATGAATTTTGGTGCCCCTGGTTACCAAATTCGCAGCTGTCTGGAGAGGAGGCAAAGGGGACCGATGGTGGATGTGCCCCTTGCCCCAAGCCTGCCGGGAAGGGGCCAGAGTCGCAGGGCAGAGTGGCTGAGATGGTGGGCGGGCTGGTGCTGTGGGGTTAGTTTCTTCCTCAGACCCTATGTCCCAGGAGGACGGCGGCTTCTGTCTGCCCCGGAGGCCGGCTCAGGCCATGGAGGTTTCTGGAAGGGTGGAGGGAGGTCCGGAGAAAGTGCTGGGGGCAGAGAACAGCCCCTGTGAGGAAGGGCCTCTCCAAGGCCCTGCTCAGAGGCTCAGAGCCTCTCCATGTTTCTGGTTGGGGTCTCTCTTGTGGTCAGCAGACCCTCTGCCTAGGGGCCACTGCGGCTCCTACCACACCCCCGTGGCTAGCCATCCCTCTCTCTCTCTAGCTATAGAGTGCCCTGTAGGCAGAATCCTCCTCAGCCCTGCCCCTAGTTAGCACAGACACCTCACTTCCTAGCCTCTGACTGAGAAGCGCCCCAGCTCCCACCTGTACCAGGGGGTCAGGCAGAAACAAGCCTCAAACCTTGACCCCCAGCTCAGGCCCGCTCCCTCCGGCAGGTGCCTGCTGGGAGTGCTTCCAGCTCTGGGCTGGACTGAGGGTGGTACGAGTGTGGGTCCCCACCTTGTTATGAGGCCAAGGACCAAAAGGGGTCCAAAGACAACCAAGGCGATAGTGTCCTCCAGGGCAAAGGCCTGAGTGGGGCATCACACACATTCTCCCTGAACACCACGGGGCCGGCGTCACACCACGTTAGACGGACACTGAGGCTCAGAGGTACGGGGCTGCTCAAGGTCATACAGTCAGCAGAGGTAGTCTGAGTCCGGAGCCCTGCCCCTTCTACAATGCCAGGCTGGGGGAACTGAAGGGGTCTCAGGCCCAGATTGGGACTCAAGGTTCGGAGGCACTCGGGTGTCCGGCATGTGGCTGGCTTGGTGAGGGCTGAGCAGCCAGGGGAGCCCCTGTGTGCAGAGCCCACCTCTGAGTTACGGCCCCTCCCACGCAGACAGGCCAGCTGGGAGTGCTGGTGTCCTGTCTGACACCTGGGCGCCAGTGCTGGCTGGGCCTCCTCACGGCACTCCTGCTTGGTGCCATGTTGCTGAAGCACTTCTGGAGCCAGCCAGAACTGGACTGGGATCAGAACTGGATTGACCTGGAGAGGGTTCAGGTGGTGGCCTTAGGCCCTGCCCACTGGAGCTGGGCCACTGTGGGCAGGTCGGGAGGCGGTCAGTGTGGGCCAGCTTTGGGTGCAGCTGACCCGTCCACCTTTGAGGGCTAACACAAGGGTGCTGGCATCTTGGGCACGGCTGCCCCACGCAGATGGGACAGAACAGGGGCTCAGCGGAAGGAAAGAAATGCAATGTTGTTTTCATTAAGGAATTTATTTCTCTTAAAAAAACAACAGTGGTTCGATCTAGATACAGCAGCACTGTGACACATTAGACAGAACATACAAAGATTCAGAGCAGCAGGAGAACAAAAGCCATTATCTTCAGGAATGACCTCCAACATGGAACTATTTTCATTCATCAATGTTAAAATTTCCCTGAAAAAAAATGAAAAGAAACCTTTGGATACTAGGTTATTATTTTAACACTACCAACAGCCACTAAGTTTTTCTAAAAACATTTGCTTTTGATCTATTACAAAGACGACTTATTGATAGATTGGGAAAGATATCTAGATCCTTCTCTTGGGAAGCATCTTCCCCCTCCTAGGGATAGCCAGCTTTTCAAATGTTTTAACCACTGACCCCAGCACAAGCCTTTCAAGTTAGACCCTAGGGGACAGCCTGGGCCCGAGCGGGCTCCGACCTGCACACTCTGCCAGGCTGAGCGACAAAAGCTGGAATGGTTGGTTCTGAAAGCAGGTGCTGGAGGATTCTTGGGGGGCAAGGCTTTGCATCGTGGTCTATTGTAATCAGAAAGATGCAATTTCTCTGCTGCTCATGACTGAGCTCAGTTGCTTCAAAATTCACAAAGATTTCACACTCATTCTTTTTCCATAGCAAAAGCTAAAAAGTTAGGAGGCCCTATCTCAGAGTGCGGGGTTATGAGAACAGGAGACACCCGCAAGAGGTTCTCTCCTACGCTCACATGGACACCAAGGAGCGCAGATGTCACCCCGGCTGGCACGTCCTCCTTGGCTCGGTGGACTGCAGGTTGTCCACGAGGCTGCTGTCCCTTTGGCGAGGCCTGAGATGCTGGGCTCTGGGCGGTGCTCTCTCCAAATTGAGGCCTGGGTCAGCAGCTCACACGAGAAAGTCGGTGGGAGACAAACCTGTGACTGAGCCAGGGGAAGGCCAGGTGTGTGGAGGAGTGAGGAGGAGCTTCCCAGTGGGCAGGCTCCTTGGAGAGGCTTGGAGAGCCCCGGCTTCTCGGCAGGCAGGCCTTCCGCCTAGGCAGGCTCCCTAGGCCGAGGGCAGGCGGCCACATCCGACTTTCAATGCCAAGACGGTGTTCACCTGGGTGTCCCCAGAACTCACCAGCATCTGTCCCAGCAGGCTGCCTGTCAGGTGTGACCAGGCCACCCACTCTCTTCCTTGCAGCATGGCTTCCTCACCACCTGCCCCTCTGAGACCAAGAGCTTGTCGAGAGCAGTGCATTTCAGGAAACGAGCAAGCCCTGGGAGGGCCGCCGAAGGCATAGCAACACTTAGCAACTGTGCAAGCAAGCAGCCTTGATGCCTCACGGTTTACAAAGTGATGCTCCTGGCCTAGAGAAAGTAGAGAACAGCTGATGTGGGCTGTGGTGCCACCCCTCTGTGAAGGCGGGGACTGGGTCTTCATGATATCACAGGTGATCTTCTGGAACACCCCCACCCCAGGGGGCTCAGAAAACACTCATCGGTCATGGTGATCAAGGCAGAGACCGCCCCCGCCCCACTCAGGACAGCCGCTGGTCTCCTGGAGAGGGGAAGCAGAGAGGTTTCTGCGGGACCCTGCATTTCACCTCAAAGGCACAAGTCAGGAACGTCCTGTGAGAGGAACGTCACGCTTGGGTCAAGGCCCTTCTGTGAAGAGCTCAAATGCAGTGTAAAAGGTTTATATGCACTCACTGTCCAAAGAGGCCTCATCCTGGACAGGGGGATGGGTGGGAAGGTGGGTTTTTTTAATTCAAAAATATCTTTTAAAAAAATGCAGCTGTAGAAAACAAGCTGGAATAAAAAGGGAGGGGTGTGGACAGGACCTATGCTGACCCACAGGCTCTGTGGGGAGGAGGGCTGATTCCCAGGCACTGTTCTGAATGAAGGCTTCCCTTCTGTTGTACAAAGCAGCGGGCCAAAAGGAGCAGAGGACTGAAGGGTAGTGACTCTGACCCCCCATCCTAAGAGCACTCAGTGCGGACAGGGGGCAGATGCAAAGGAAGACGCCAGTTACTTTAAGAGTCACGCAAAGACGGTGCTTTAGCATCGTTAGAGCTTTCATGGTGTGGAAACACATGAGGCAGATCCATGTTTTTTCCCCTTGCTCTTTGAGGCAGGAATTCACACAGCAAATGGACAGTGTGTGGCTTTGAGGCATAAACAGAGACTGCTCCTTAACACTGGTGAGACGGCTGGACTGCTATGAATTGGGCAAAAGGAAGGAAACTTCTGGACAGGAGGTTGGTGGCTTGGGCTGGTGACAGTCCCAGTTAGATGACTTTCCTTTTCCTTAAGAAAGGAGGGTCAGCAAGAGCTTGGGGATCTTAAAATACTGGTCAAAGAGCTTTCCACTTCTTGGCAAAAGCTGAACATGGCTGTTTGTGTTTGTCTTGTGCACAGCCCAAGAAAGGTAAGGGAAGAAGCCTTGTGGGACAAGAGCCGGTCAAGAGGAAAACAATACTGTGCATTAATGGGATCGGAGAGAAGCCCAACTGTTCCTTCTCTCCCTTTTGTTTGCAAAATGACCTCAAAATGAGCCCTTTCCTAGCAGTAGGCCCCAGGACCCACTGGCATAGTTCGGGAAAGAGCACAGAAACTGGGACATGAGGCTGACACGCCTGTCACTCTCTCCTACAGAAATAAGTTTGGGGCAATCACATTGGAAGCCCCAAATGACTGATGACTGAAGGCAGTGGTTCTTTCTCCGGGGCACGTCAGAATGATCCGGAGAGCTTTTCAAAGATGCAGACTCCTGAGCCTTACTCCCAGAGAATCCCCTGCTATAGGTTTGGTGGGAGCCCAGGAACCTGCATTTTGATGGGAGATGCTGATACAGGGCCCACCCTAGGAGAAACCCTGGCAGTTGCCAGGTGGTTGAGACCAGGTTCTGACTGTGGCCGACTCAGTCTCCAGGGACTCAACCAGGCAGGGGAACAGGGGAGGCCAGCTGCTGCTCACCCTCTCTGGGAGGGGAGGGGAGGACGGATTTGCTCCTTGTCACCTCGTAGAGGCAGCCAGGGGAGCCACTAGCGCCCTGGGGATGGACAGTCATGTTCAAAAGGCCCGGGACTGCCTTCAGAAGCCCGGTCTGGCAAAGCCACCAAGGGCTTGTGCATGAAATTTTGAGATACCCGATTGCAGCTTGCTTTTGCCCCAACTCTCTCAGGAAATAACAATGTTCTTCCTGAGCTTTTTGGGCAGCCCAGCCCTCTCTCCATCCATGCCCCCTGGGCCAGTGAATCTGTGGGGCCCTGTGACGCCCAAGACCCCATGACCCCAGAACATGCCTGGCGTCCCAGGCCAAGCCTCCCTCCTACTGCATAGATACACTCAGGACACCTGCTGGTCCCAGCTCCCTGGTGCGTCCAGAGTAAGGGTTTGGAACACCTTAAGTTCCTTAGCTCCTTATCATTAGCATGCTGCTCTTAAAAACAGAGTGAAACAAAAATCCCCAAACACAAACCTCCTGAAAACATACTGGCTTTAGCAGTCAGAACCTGCTTAGAAAGAAGCCCAGAGACCACTGTGGGGAAGACACACAGCTCCTCGTACCAGCTGCCCTCCGGGAGGAAGAGGAGACCAAGGCTGGAGCCACAGTGCCTCTGAAGGAGAAGCGCGCACCCCGAGGGAGTGGCCCCAGACAGCCCCCAAGACCCCAGCAGGGGGCGTTCCGGCCAGGGCCACGTCCACGTGTGTCAGGGCATTGAATTCAGACCCTTACAGGCCAACAGAATGGTGCTATCAGGGAAAGGTTATAGAGATGGATACAACCAATCCTTTAAAAGTAAAATGTGAATCATTTTCTACATTTAATAAAAACATTTTCTCATTTGAGGCTCTGGAAGTCTTGAGTCACATTTTTTTTTTTAATCCACACCCCCCATCCCCCACCCCGACTCTAAAATGTCCTAGAACGCATGGCTTAACAGTGGCTGCACAGAAAATATACACCCTCAAAATCTGACTTTCATTTAAATACAAATATACAAAATGTAAACTGAGACAATAGAGAAATTTACAAAACTTTTCTTTAAAAATAATAAAGACAAAATTCAGTTCTAGTTATGACGCTATTAAAAATACGTGCAAGTTGTATCCGATTGGATTTCTATTGCAATGTTCGACAGAGACAACTCCGATCTGCCTTGGCTCGAGGGCCACCTCTGAAAACAGACCTGAGTGGAAATCTCTCTGAGAAACCTGGAGGAATGGATGGCCTCTTTCCCCAGCTCTGGAGGGCTCCCTGCCCACAAGGTCCACATCTGAGGAGAAGAGTCTGTGCCGGTCCCGTCGTGGACACCCAGCTAGCTGCAACTAGCTGCTTCCGGCAGAGTTGGAACTGATGTGGTTTGAATTTATGTGGTGGTTAAAACTGGTCTTGGAGTTGGGCGTTCTCTTGGAATTGTTCTGGTGCTGGGAAGGGGACAGAAGAGAGAGTCAGTCATCACGGATCAGGCCTGGGGCCCACATATCACAGGGGCCACTGAGTCTGAACACAGGGCCATGGTCGGGGGCTGCCCTCCAGCTCCAGCTCTTGCCTTTTGCATCAACCCCCGCAGACCCAGGGCCAGAGGCCACCCCTTGGGGCAGAAGGCTTCACCTGGTGCCTGGGAAGCGCTAAGGAGATATGAGAAACCCACGGCAGGGAGGAGGAGCCCTCCTGTAATTCCCGTAGGGTTAGGTCTTCAGGCCTGGAGTTAGACTGCCTGGGTTTGAATCCTAAAATCTGTCACTTAGCTGAGTGACTGCGGGAAAGTTATTGAATCTCGTGGTTGCCTCGCCTGTCATGCGGGAGGAGAGGGTCTTCTGCACAGGGCTGGTGAGAGAATGTAACGAGGGCCTGTGCATGAAGGGCTCTGGGGAGGGCCTGGCCCGGGACCACGCTGCTTGTTCTCAGAGCTCCTGGTGCCTTCTCTGCATTCCCGGGGGTGCGTGCCCTTCACATCACAGGGGTTAGGAGAGAGGCAGGAGCGCCTGTTCCCTCGGTGGGGTGCTGGGTACTGTGCTGAGGGCCACAGTCCTCCACCTGGCTCCTCCTCTGCCCCGTTCTAACACCTGATCTTACAGGCAGCAAATGGGGGCTGCAAGTGGTTCAGGAAACCACCAAGATACGTCAGGCCCGATTTGAACCCGGGTCCGTGAGCCTCCACAGAAAGTGCTCCTCCCAGGACCTGGGGGGCTCTGCCATGGGGTGGGGAGGGGAGAGGTCCTTTCTTTCTGGAACTTCGATTTTACTGGGTGGAAACATTTAAAAATCATGTTTTTACAGTATACAAACATGAGTATATTACAGAAAAGGGTGTGAAACTCACATGAAGCTTTTAGATAAAACTGCAAACTTGGCCTCGGTCTGCATTTTCTCTCCAGGTGCCTGATCTGCGTTCCCTGCCCTGTTATTCCCAGATCCCTCACAAGGGCTCACCAGCTGGGTGACCTTGGCAAGTTCCTTGCCCCCTCTGCCTCAGTTTCCTTATCTGTAAAATGGGGTAATGGTAGCACCTCCTGGCTCACTTCACAGGGATGCCCAAAAGGAGGGACCCCAGTGTTGTCTGCTGATGCATCTCAAGTCCTTAGCTAACAGCCCAGCACATAGTAGGCACTCAATACACATTGGCTGAATGAATGAACTGTTACGTGAAGGCTCTTACGCAGATTAAGAGAAGCCCCACAGCACGAGCCTGGCCGAGAGTGGAGGACCGTAAACAGCCAGCTCACCCCGTCATCGGGGGACACGGCTGGGGGCCTGACGACCAGAGCCACACCTGCCTCGCCTTCTCTTCTTCTTGGGGAGGCAGGATGTGAGGACCTGGCTGCGGGACAGGCAGGGGGATGAGGCTTCTTGAAGGGCCAGCCCAGGGGTGGAGGCTATGGCGGCTGCCTCGGTGGTCACGATGGGGTGGGGGTCCCAGGGGTCTCTCATTTCCATGGGCCTGCCAGGCCCTTCCTGGGACATTTCTTCCATGTGGGTCACACCAACTGTTACGCAGGGACAGGCTCCTAGAGGCTGCCAGCTAAGGGCACAGCATCAAACTATGGTGTCCCCCCAAGAGCCAGGAGGTTCTGGGGGAACCCCTCTCCAGCCCCTTGTGCTTTATTGTGCTACATCTTTCCCTACAGAACTCAAGTCTTTACAACAGCCACATAGGGCGTGGTGCTCTATTGGGGCGATCCTGACGATGTCTGGAGACATTTTTGTTAGTATAATGGGAGTGGATGGTAATGGCGTCTGGTCGGCGGAGGCCTGGACCCTGTTAAACATCCCCCAACGCATGAGACAGAGCCCCATGACAGAGGGACCTAAACATCAGTAGTGCCAAGGCTGAGAAAAACCTCCAGGAGGGGTAACCTTTGGGCCGCCCTGTCCTGCCCTGGGGATCCGTCAGCCAGTGGGTTTCCAGGGGCTTCAGCCAGGCCACATGGCTCTTCCAGGCTGCCAGAGCCCCCCCCCACCCTCCGGGCCCTGCCAGTGGGTAGAACTCTGCCACTAGGATCATGGAAGCCTGTGGGCCAGGAAAGCGGGGCATGGGGGCTCTCACCTGACGCTTGAAGATTCTCTGCAGCAGCCCTTTCTTTGGCGGGTCTGGAAGGTGACTTCTGTTCAGGTCCGGCGAGAGGGTACCATTGGGCCCAAACACATTCAGCTCCTTAAAGCATTCTGTTTCTATCATCTGGAGAAGTGGTGCAGAAACACAGGTGGTGGTGTGAGGGGCTGTGTTCGTCATCTTGAAATCACAGCGGACGCGCCTTGGCCGACACCCAACCCTGAGCCCGATCCTAAGAGGTCCCCCACTTGCTCTCCACCTGCTGGGGGTCCCAGGCCCCCCGGCTACCCCATGGCCTTGCATGCCACCAGACCTGAGAAAGCAGAAACCGTCTGCAGGGCTGTGCTCAGGGTCCGGGCCCCAAACCCACACCCCATCTCCTTCACCCAGGAGAAGCCCAGGTCACCCACATGCTCCAGACACTTCCCCCTTTTCAGGACTTCAGCCCCTCTTTCCACCCCACCTTTCCCCTGTCATCCAAACCTGCTCCAACTTTCCCCAACACCTGTGCCTCCAGCTCCTGCCCCATTTTTCTCTTCTTTCCAAAGTTCTTGCATCTAGACAGGCCTCCTGATCACCCACCGCAGTACCGACCGGTCCAGGCCACAGGGACTCGGGACCCTCCGCGCCTCATGATTGCCCTCCTTTGGGTGGAGGCTGGAGACCCTGCCCTGCTCACCTCGCTTTGCCAGGGGATGGACACAGAGCCCGTGGAGAACTTGGAGTAGAAGTCGTCATCTGTGTGGTCCAGGTTCACGCCCTTCACGGTGGAGAACTGCTCGATGTCCAGCACGTCCTTGCAGTACACGGCTCGGGGCTGAGGCAGGCAGAGCGCTTGGTCGGTCACACAGGGCTCTGCCCAGGGTCCGGGGCCCCCAGCCCAGCCGTGGGGTCATGATGTAGGAGCAGAGGGGGCACCTGCCCAAGGCCACCCCGTGCCCCAAGAACAGGAGCTGCCCTCCCAGATCTGCCACGGGCCCAGCCCGTGTGGAATGAGAGCTCAGGGTATCCAGGCACCCCCACCCATACCCCCTCACACACGCCGCAGGCCACCCCACGTCTCTGCAGGCTGGGCCCGGACTGGCGGGAGGCCGTTCTCTGTGAGCTCACACTCCGGGCACCTCTGGATGCCCACTCCCTCACCTCGCCCTTATCATCAGGTAGTCTTTGTTCTCCTAAAGCCCCCAGGTCAGGCTCATGGAACTGTTTTGAAGGGCATCTGGTCAGAATGAAGGCTGGCAGTTTGGGGCCCCAGGTCTGCCCTCCACAGAGGGAGGGAAGGATGGGCACCCAGGGCCAGACCAGGGTGCGAGAGGGGCGCCGTGTCACTGGACTATGCAGCCGACAGAGGGTGTCCCAGGAGGACCTAGCCCCCTGGCCTCTCCTCACACTACAGGGGGGTGAGGGGCGGGGGCTTAGCACCCAGGCCCTGCCACCAGGTCTGGGGACCCAGCAGTGGTGCTGGAGCTTTGGGAAAGTCACAGATCCCTGTGGGCCTCAAGTTTCCTCGCCTGCACACTGGGGCTAACACAGCACCTGTGAGTGTGGTAACCAGGAGTGGCTGTTGCTACGGCAGAAACATCTTTTATTACATTTTATATACTATCTTATCCCTCCCTCACCCAGCGCACGTGCACTGGGGGCTGCACTATGCCAGGATTCGCAGGGATGAATCCCCCGGGCCTGGGCCCCACCCTTCAGGAGTTCAAGGTTGGTGGAGCAGGCCTTCCAGGGGCTCCGGGGTCCTGGGGGTCTGGAGATGAGGACTTCGGAGATGACGCCAGGATGTGGGTGCAGAAGACCCCCAGAACTGGGGACATGTCTGCTATTAGAGGGTGGAGGCCCCCTCTTGCCACAGGTCTCCGCAGCCCCTGACAGGGGGCCCAGCTCAGACACGGGGCTGAGTCAAATGCAAGGAGGGGCGCCCAGGCTTGGTCCTGCTCGGGGAGGCCACTCACATCTGGAATGAAGGGGGGATCCAACATCCCGGCTTCTAAGCGCTTGAAATTCATGTTCCTGAAGAAGGGGTGTCTCTTGACCTCCGCAGCCCCCTCCTCCTGGCAGCCCAGTCTCTGCTTTGCGTCTTTGGTGAGCAGCTGTGACAAGAGAGCCCCAAGAGGCCATGCCAGGTGGGCCTTTCCTCCTGCCCAGAGGCTAGAGGGGCCAGCGGCTTGGAGAACCTGTGGTCGCGCCCTTCCACAGATGTGCCCCCGAGGCTCCCAGATGTCCCTCCACCAGCCTCTGCAGTGGCTGCGCCACCCCCAGGCACCCAGGGGACGCTGCCAGCCTGCTCGGGGCTTGTTTCAGGGTCGCCTCCTGAGCCACTGTGCTTAGATGCCTGCAGCCTCCAGGGCAGGCTGGCCGCTCCTCCCACTACTGTCGGTTGGATTGTCACTTCCGTGACAGGTAAGCTACAAAGGGCGGGGACCAGCCTATAGGTCTCTCCTGCTCCTTGCCTCTGGCCCCAAGGACGCTGCAGACTTGGAGCTGGCAGGTGTGCACCTCTGTGCTGCGAGGATGCTGAGGGTCCAGCCTCAGCAAAAATCATGCTCAGATGGCCCCTAAGGGCAATACAGACACAATGCCTGGTGCCAGAGGAACAGGAATTGGCGGCCAGCTGCACGAGCAGGCAGCCGGGTGTGCTGAGATGGGGGAGGGCCACCAGGAGCCGCCAGGGCATCAGCCCCTCCCCCGAAGTCTCGGTGTCAAGCCTGTCTGTCTCTTTTCTCCCTGCCCCATGGAGCATCGCACCTTGTATGCAGCTGGAATCCACTGTTTGCTTTGAGACTAAAATCAAGGTGGGCAGCCTGCACTGCAGAGGGAGTCCTGCCCTTCTTTCACCAACACCCTGTGCCCTCTGCTTGCCGTGTGAGCTGGGGGTGCAGGGAGTCAGTGGGCAGGTGGGCCTCCTGGGGGAGGCTCTGAAGGACCACTCCTAGCCCCCTCCGATGAAGGAATCAAAGGGCGTAGAGGGGCGAGCACCAGGTCACAACATTGAAAGAACTAGGCTGTGAGAGTCGCTCACATGTCACCCTCTGGTCCACCAATACCCAGGTGTGTTTTGCCCAGTGGGCTGGTGGCTGGGGGCCTCAGCCTCTCTTCTCCAGGGGCTCTGCTTTTCCACAAAACCTTCAGGAATTGGGCTCTGCTGCGCCCAAGCTCCTCCTTATTCTGAGAAGTCCCAAAGAGGTGAGGCTCCTCTCTCGGGGCTGGACCTCCCAGCTGCAGACCCCGGCGCCTGCGGGGGTTGGCCAGACAGATGACACGGACAAGGACAATAAATGCAGGGATGGGCTGGGTGTGCTGTGCCAAGTGCCCATCAGCTCTCACCAGGCAGCAATGCTGGCTGGTGCCCAGGGCTTCTGCTTTTCTTCAAGAGAGGCCAGAAACTCCACGTTTTTATGTGTAATCTCTCCAATTTTAAATCTTTAACTCACCATTCACCTCTTTATAAAACACTGTGCAGGTGGAACTGAACACTCACCTATATGCTGCCTGTTTGCAACCAAGATGTCAGGTATGTACCAGGAGAAGCAAGAGGGAGAGATGGTGTGAACTGGGCAAGGGGGGCAGGCAGAGTATGCTTCCTGGAGGAGGAAGACTAGAAGGGCTGGAAGGAGTGAGTCTGAGAAGGGCCAGAGGGAGGCAGTTGGAGGCAGGTGGGGAAGGACCAGTGTTGGGACTCAGCAGGACCTACGGTAGATGGGGGCTGAGGTCCAGGCCTTGGACTGACCCAGGGAATAGAGCACTGAGATGCATGGATTTCTGGACCCCAAGGGCAGCGGAGAGGGCCTTGTGGCTGCCAAGAGGGACCAGGGACCAGCTCCTTGCTGTTGGTGGGTGGCCTTCTTAGGCAAGCAGGGTAGAGCTGCCAGAGCCTAGAATAGCCCAGAAGCCTCCATGGTCTCCTCACATTCAGGCCCTCCTGTGTCCTGAGCTGATACCTGTTGCGGGGACAGGGAAAGCCTGACAGATAGGCTGTCGGTAGGTGAACACAGGAAACTCAAGCCCAGAGTCTCAAGAGACCAGGGGCATTTGTATGAAGAGAGAGCAAGGCCAGAGGCCTGTGGTGGTTCTTCCAGCAGAGCAAGATGCAGGGCCGCTGGTTCAACCCTCTGCACCCACAGACCCTGGTGTGCCCAGAGCCCCAGGCTCAGCCACTGCCTTTCCTGTGGTAGCCACCAGGGGGCAGCAGAGGGAAAGCAGTGCCCCCCGGCTGTTGGCGCCCCAAAGCTGGTGCCCAGGATGACTGCTGGCAGGGAGGTAGCCCGCGCTGCCTCTCTGTCCCCTCAGCATGGCTCATGTCCCTGTCGGGGTCACTCAAGACTTGCTTCTCTGGATCCCCAACCCTGACCTGGGCCATTCGGTGGGGCTCTGACCACTGCAGATGACTTCCCTCTTCTGTCCTTTGCCCGGTCTGGGCTCACTGGATAGATGCCCGCCTCTGGTTTCAGATACCTTAGGACCCCACGTTTCCATTTACCTTGCTGGCTTCCTCCTCCTGCCTGCCAACCCCAACTCTGGCTGTTGTGACTACCTGGATTTCAAGGGGCCCCTGGGCATGTAGGCAAGCGTCTGGCTGCAGACTGGCCCACAGGCCGTGCAGGCTGGGTGTGCGTCTGCGTGTGTCCGCTGTGCATCTCAGCGCCTCACACACATAAGTGACAGATCTACAGTTCCTCTTCTTTCAGAAGTGATCAGAGGGCGGACCTTGCCCCAAATCCTTCCCATGTCTGGACGTCAGACTGATTGGTAAGAGGAAGTGGTCATGCAGTGGTAGACAGCTCCCGGGGAGCTCCTGAGCTACACCAGATGATCCCTGGGCCCCAGAGAGTGTGGCCTCAGGGTTCTGCGAACAGAAACTTCGCTGCTTGTAATCAGCTCCTGGGGCCTGCTCCCCTCTACCCTCCAGCCTAGCTATTTATGCGGAGAGGTATTGCTCCAGGGAGAGGGAAGCCTGTGGGCTGCGTGCGAAGCTGCACCCTTAGGCCCTCCTGTCCCGCGGGCCAGCATTTGAGGGCAGCTGCCCGTGGTGGGGGTGCAGCACAGCTGTGTGCCCGGCAGCGCAGGAGGAGGTGCGGGTGGGACCTGGGAACCCGAGGCGGGCGGGAACGGGAAGTGGCCATCCCGCACCTGGGCCTCGGGCCAGGGGCACACCCTCTCCCAGGCCCCCTTCTGGAGGCTCCTCTCACTCCTTCTTTCTCAAGCCCCCAACCCGGTCCTGCCCACCCAGCCTGTCTATATGTCACTCCCCACACGTGCTCTGCCTTGGGCCACCAGATCTCACTGGCTGTAGAGGCTGACAGGCAGGACCTGAGCTGGTGGGACCAGTATTCCATTTGGTGGGTGGGAAACTCTGTTATAAAGTATTCAAACTAGTAATATTACCAGCCACCACCTGCAGTCCCTGGACTCAAGCCAGTGGCCAAGGGCCCAGAGTTGGAGGGAGCAGGGGGCCAAGGTCAAGGGCAGGGACTGGCCCCTAGACCCTCTGTGTCTTGGGGAACCAGCTGAGATCATCTCCTTTCTCCCCCATGCTGAACTCCCCCAACAGAGCTGGACGTGGGGGTCTCAAACTGCTCGCCTCTGCACCCTTCCTTTGTCATGGGATCTCCTGGCCCCCACCCCAGGGATTCCCCTGGAAGCCTTTGCCGACCACCCCAGTCCACAGCAAGGGGCGCCTGCCCCCCTGGCTTGGTGGCTTCCCCACCCACACCTTGGCACCCGGAGTCTGTCCCCTTCAGCCTGTTTGTTCTTAGCTGGGGCAGTGAGGGGAGACACTACTGGGCGCATGGCCAGAGGCAGCGGGCTCACCAGGAGCTCACCCGTTTGCAGATGGCCTTGGCCTCATCCGAGAACTTGTGGGAGTACACCTCCTCCGACTCCAGCACCCGGCGGTCCACCTCGTCCCGCTTCACCTTCTCCTTGCGGCCTCGGAACGGCGACTGGCCCTCGATCATCTCGTAGATGAGGCAGCCCAGACCCCAGTAGTCAGGGCTCAGTGCATACCTCTGGTTGTTCAGGACCTCTGGCGCTGGGGGCAGAGGCAGGAGTGAGGAAGGTGAGAGACAGCTGGAGGTGGGATGGAGCCTGGGCGCACAGGCCAGGGCTGTAACTCACACCACCTGGGCCTCAGGGCATCCTGCACTCAGGAGTGATGGCCTTGCTCACCAAAGGCCTGGAGCTTCACTGCGGGACATGCTCCCTGCTGCTGACTCCTACACCAACTGCCATAATCACCACCTCCTCCAGGGAGCCTGCCCTGTTGGCTCTCCTTTTTGCTCCCAAAGGACTTTGTGGCTTCAGAAGCCTGACCACAGTGCGTGGAAACAGCCTGTTCCCTTAATGTTTCCCCACTAGAATGTGAGCTGCTTCGTTCACTGCTGTGTCCCAGTAACAGCTGTGACACCTGGCACATAGTAGGAGCTGCACATGTTTGTGTCAATGATTGAAGGTGTGTCCACCCAAAGTAAAGAAGATCTTGTATGTATCTGGAATTCAAACAGCTTCTCTGACTTCTGACATCTCTGACTATGGCTTTCTGACTAATTTGATAAAATGAATTCTAGATTCATCAGAGAAGTGTCAAAAATACAGTTTCACATCATCAGGCAGGCCACAAACATTCTGAGTCCACACATGTGCCCAGGAACACATAGCAGAGGCTGTGCATGCAGATGCTCGCAACACGCTTCACGAGGAGATGCACACAACGGTCCGCCGGCAGGTTTCCCTGCCTACCTACCCATCTATCATCCGTCTTTCAGCATCACATGGGTACGCACAGACACATACCACACGGGTTCCCGAAGGTCATGCACCCTGAACATCAGGCTCTAGCACCTGAGACAACATACAGAACCCTGTGCACATGCTGTCGGTATGACCCTGGCAGAGGATAGAAACATCCCTGAGAGCTTTCAGAGCCCCCTACTTCCTGGGGTGAGCTGTGCAGGAGGAAGCCCAGGAGCCAGCCCTAACTGGAAGGGGGATTCCAGGGGACCGGGTGTAGCTCCAGGTCTCTTCCCTGCAGCCCCCACGATGATGATTTTGGAGTAGGCTCAGGGGAGGCCAGGCAGGGAGCCCAGGGCTGGTCTCTACTTAGAACTGTGCTTGGTGACACAGCATGAAGCATGTCACAGCGCCTCTCCTTTCTGGGTCCTTCCTAATGACCTCTCTCCTCTCCGAGGGTCTTCCTGAAGGCTGTCTACCAAATCCCTGGACGTCTACTTCAGTTAGCCTTCCCACCAGCACACTGGCGGCCAGCTCTGCTCACTGACAAGCAGAGTAGCTTGGCCTGGAGATGCAGGTGGGCTGGGGCCACAGGTCCTGAGAGCTCAGTGTAGTCAAGTCACGCCCTGGGCCCTCCTGCTCCCCTGCCCTCCTGCCGTGACTTGACTTTGGGTCAGAGATGAACAGAGGGACCAGGGGCTCCACGCGGTGGCTCGGGAGGGGCCGCACCCCCACTCACCCATGTAGCCGACGGTGCCCACCCGGCCACGGATCAGGTCTCCCTCGGGGATCTTCACGGCCAGACCGAGGTCCGAGATCCTAATGTGGCCTAAATGGGGAGAGTAGACTCAGCGGGTCCCTGGGGCAGTTGTGTGGACCCACCCTGGGCTGGGCCACAGACCTGCCACATGCCCCGAGGCTGTGGACCTCAGTGTTTCCAAATGTCCCATGAAGTGGGGGACTCCAATCTGCTCTCTTAGGGGACTGCAGACCCGTGGGAGTGTCAGGTGTCAGAGGACATGCGCGAATCATTACTTTTTAGGAGAAAAACACAGATGCAAAAGGATGCCTGGATTGGACTGCATGTCGGCTGACCTGCCCGTGAAATGTCCTGGTGGGCTTCTCAGATGAGCTCATGGTCTAAAATGCCTTAGCCTGACTCTGGCATTGCTTCATGGGAAAAGTGTGAGATTCTCCTGAAATTTTACAATTTGCTCAAGGGGAAAAATTATGAAGTCGTTTGGGAAGCAACACCCTGGCCTGCCTTGATGGTCTTTAGAGAAACAAGAAGAGAAGCCTTCTGGGCCCCACGGAGCCTGAGAGACGGAACTGGAGCTCCTGGCCCAGCATGACCCCCGAAGGCCGAGAGGACACCGTGCTGGGCTCTTGCCTGGTGGCCCACCTAGGTGGGGCCATGGCCACATCTGACCCTGTAGGGGAACACTGTCCCCGTGTCCCCGTCTGTGGATACCAGAGTCCCTCAGCCTGGCTTCAGCAGGGCCCAATGCCAGGGACCCCCGCCAGGCTGGAGCTGGGTGGATGCCCTGGCTCCATGGCCCAGACAGAGGCAGGAAGTGGGAGGAGGGCCCGCGGTTCCAGCTGCTGGGTGCAGATCAGTTGTGGACAGGGCTCTGAGCCCGGCAGGAACAAGAACCCTGGAGGGCCCTGGGCTCACCTGAGCAGGCCCTGGGCCCTGACCCCTCTTCCACATGGTAGCATCAAACCCAGACCTCTCTCTGGGTCACCAGCGACCTGCCTCCCTTTGTCCATCCCCTCTGCCTGGGGCTGTCTGACGTCTAGGGCGCGCTGGGGGGGCACCTGATCATGCCTGGTGACTCTGCCAGGTCGGCTCTTCTGAGCATTAATATCATCATCTGTGAGACGTGCTTAGGGATGCCGGCCCTGCGCCGTCTGCGGAGACGGGCAGATCTAGTCAGATAAGAGATGGGAAAGCCGTTTCCCACGTGTGAGAGGGTAAAGTAGTGAGGGGTCGCTGTGGTTTATCTTGTTATCCATGCATGTGCACACGCACACACACGCAAGAAAATAACAATGGTGGTGACAAATAATGCCAACACATACACAGCTGCCTGTGGTTTCCCCTAAACTATCTTGTCTGAGCACCCCTTTGGGTTGTGATGCTCTCCTCAGCTACACAGCAGGAAAGGATCTCCCAAGCCGCTCCCCAACTCACCATAATCATCCAGCAGGATGTTCTCAGGTTTCAGATCTCTGAAAGGAAAAGATCACACGCTTGTGAGTGTGGGCCTCTGGGCACAAGGGCATACTGGCATCTGGCTGACCTCCTGGAGTGTGTGCTGCCCACCGCTGGGCTCAGGCTGTCTGGTCTCTCTCTCGCTCAGGACCATCTCGGGCTAATTTCACTCCTCCCGGTAATTGAAAGCAAATGCTGCCATTTGCCACAGGCATTTTCCCCTCCCTGGTTGGTGACTGGGAAGTCCGTTAGGTGAAGGCCACTCCTGGCACCTGCCCACACACTGATGGCCCTGGGGGCTGTTGTGGTGACAGACCTCCCCCACCCCCCAGGACGGGGAAGATCCTGAGGTCTCAGGATGCCCTGAAGGCAGAGCAGGGCCCCTGGAGGGAAGGAAGAGAAGTTACTGAGAACAAAGCACCAGCTACAGAATTAGAGCAGAAGACTGTGGGGAGGAGGATAGCAGCTCCCTGAGAAAGGCTCCCTTTGGGATGGGGTCCCCCAGGAGCTGGGACACCCCCCAACTCCAGCAGGGTTACACTGCAGATGCAGTGCCTCCTCCACCCCAAGGTCTCTCTTCTCTTTGATGACACGGTCATGTTCATGAAAACCCGGCTGCCCCCACACCAGTATGGGGCAGAGACAGCAGAAGCATCTGGTTTTACCAGCGAAAGGTCTTCTCCATGGATAAAAGGGCAGCCAGTAGAACCACGTGTGTAACTCAGTGAAACCACTGGGCAAACAATACGTGGGCATCTGGATTGAGGATCTGGGTCTCAACCAACTGGCTTCATTTATTTCACTGATGGCAGCTGCCCTCCTAGGAGTGGTGAATGGGCCCAACCCTATGCGCAGCCTCACAAAGTGCTGATCAGTACTTGTATGTAGTTATTTATTACAAAACACTTTTGCTGCTGTCGTTAATTTGCATTCTTTGATGTGTTAACAATTCCAGACAGGGGTAAGAGCCATCATCTCAGTAAGCCAGTGGCCACAGGGCTGGAAAGAGAGTTGGCTAGTGGGGACAAGCCACTACGCGAGTCCACAGAGCGGCCATGGCCAGTGGTCGAGGCTGGGGAGGCGCTGGGGTTCTCCTCCCCCCAGAGGAAGGGCTAGAGCTCAGAGCGCTGCCTTTTTTTTTTTTTCAAAGTGAAAAGCAACCAAGTGGAGGATTCTTTTTTCAGGCCTTAGGGAAATTTTTCTGACTCTCTTCTCACTTGAATGAAAACAAAACAAAAGCATAAATGGGGTGATGGTGTGGCAGGAAAAGCATGTCATCTAGACCATTCCTTTTGTTTTCAAAACCTTCTTGGAGTCCTAAAATAATCTCTGCCGAGAGCTCCCAGCAAAGGCCTTCAAACTGCAGTGTGTGCCTGGGGGGTTGTGGGGTCCATCCTCGGGGTTCCCATGAGCTGGTGGTTTCAAGAAAATGCATTTCTAGATCCTTAACATCACGTGTTAAGGACACCTTCTGGCTGCTATTACTATGGTGCCCTGCACGGGGCCCTTATTAGAAGTGAGATCTACTAATATTAATCATAAAGGCAACTCAACAGAAGAAGTTATTTTAACAGAGCCTCTGGTCAAAGGAAACTTCTTAAAAATCTTATATATATCCATTTTATTTCAGAGCTGAATGCCAATCAATGAAAGACTTTCAGGCAAAAGATATATTACATATAACGATATATGGGAGGGGAGAAGAAAATGATAGAAAATTCCTCCCCATTAGCGTTTTCATGCACTTTTTAAAATGGATGATGGTGGAAATTAATTTGCTACAGCAATTAGATTCCACTGGGATACCTTCAAAAATGTGAGAACATGATTCAATTTGAAAATATCACTATTAGTCACTATTTTAACATATAATGGACTATTGCAGATGTCTGCTTAAAGTGGGTGAGCACATATAGATTTTTAAAATTCCCTGAGTGAATTTCAAAATTCAGCAAGAAAGGTTTGAAGGCCGCTGCTCACAGAATCTGGACACCTGGTCCCATAAACCATGGGATGGACTGAGGTTCACTTGGATGTCTGCCTGTGGAAGTGATCCCACTCAGGTCTTCCAGGAGCCAGGTCCAGACCATGGCCACCAGGGTCTACTGCATCCCCAGGCACTGGGCTGGAAGGGAGTGGTGGCCGTGGCCCATCCTCAACTTCGGGTAACATCACTCACACCTGGCCCTTTAAACAACCCACCTCACCTACTCAATTCCAGGGTGGATGCCTGCCCGACTCAGGCACCTTTTCCAAAGGCGATGAGCAGGCCTTGCTTGCCCCAGGGCAGGGTGACTGCCCCATCCAGGGGTGGAAGGTCAGCCCCACCCACTCAGACTGGACGGGAATGAGACAGGGACCGTGGGTGTAGTCAGAGTAGGGTGAGGGCCTCTGGAAGAAGACCCCTACCAAAATTCCGTATTAACCAATTAAGCAAAGTCAGTCACATTAATTCTCTAAAGTAAAATATCAAACTAGAAATATAAGCATTCTTCAGGAAGATTAGTTAAAACTAAAAAGCCAGGAGTAACTTGGCCTGGAATGTTTGAACATCCCCCAGATGAGAAAATACGTCAGCATAGCCCATGTCTTCATTGTGTCAATTAAATGAGGCTATTGTAAAATCTACTTTAGCCTAAAAGGCCCAGCGTATCTTCTTTAACGTAGCCCAGATGCTGCTTTTCCTCCTCCAGCCCCTAATCAAGTCATATATAACCTGGGCAATTAATATAGCATGCGAGCCCAGTCACAAACAACATAATAAAAGCACGAAAGATTCCATCTTAAACACAAGATTGCATTTTAAAACCCAGAAAGAAAAAACAGGTTTCTTAACATAACAGACAATACCCCAGCCCACCTTGGGGGCAGGACAGGCAGTCTTGACTGATATGCTCCCAAACCAAGAAGCTGCTATTCTGGGAAAGAATCAGAGCAGTAAATTTCTTGTGTTAACTCTGCAAAATAATCCAGAAGACTGATAAGAAACTTAGTGTCTCTTCAAAGATAAACATCTGGGGACCATTTAGCAGGTCTGCATCCTTAGCCGTTTGTCTCTCAACCGCCTATAAATCCCCCAGACAACGCACCACCCCGGGCTCTCTTGTCCCCTTGTGGCGTGAGCCAGGAGCTCTGTCCTCTCACTGTATCTCTCAATAAAAAGCCTCTCCCTTGCTCTCCTACCTTGGGTGTTTGCTAAGTTCATTCTTTGACTCTGCAAACAAGATCCCAGCATCAGAACTTGGCGGCCACTCACCTGTAGACGGTGTTCTCGCGGTGGAGGTCTTCCAAGCCGCACAGGATCTCTGCCGCGTAGAACAAGGCTCGCTCCTCCTCGAAGCCGGGGTTACCCATGTTGTAGATGTGGAACTTTAAGTCACCCCCGTTCATGATGGTCAGAACCAAGCACAGAGCATCCTTGGTCTCGTAGGCATAGGCCAGGTTGACCTGCGGGCACAAGACAGCAAGGTGGTGAAGTTCTGGTGACTGCCACCTGCTTTTGCTCTTCCTCCTCGGGGTCCTTGAAGCTGGGGTGCTGGGCAGGGGGCTGCAGCAACTTCAGGCTGCTCCCCTGCTCAGAGATGCCCTCTGGAGTCAGTGCCTGCTGCCCTCTGGGCTGATGAAGGACTCACAGCTTCCAATTTGGTGGTTCTGGGTGAGGAGGTGGGGATCCTGACAGGATGGTGTCCATGCATTTACAGAGGCCACAGCATGTATGTGATGCGTCAGGTGGTGAAAACTGTGTGTTGCCTTGTGTCTGGTCAAGAGAAGCAGGGCCCTGACGTTCTTGGGGCTGGGGCCTCATCGCAGGGACACTGGGAGTGGGCTAGGGCTTTGTGACATGGAACAGCCTGGCAAAGACCGTCTCCTCCTGCATGCAGGACACTCTTGGCCAAAGGGACCATCCCCAGAAAGGGCATCACCACTTGCTGGTGGAGACCAGCTGCCCAGTAGGGACTGAGGCCTTGGTGAGGCAGGAGAGGTGGCGGGGCTGAGTCTGAGGCAAAATACACTGGGTGGTACTCTTCTTTCTCCACTTAGGAAGCTGGCACAGATGTAACCTGGCCATCATGGACCAGGCTGGGGACAGGCTGGGCCATAAAGCTTGCATGCAAATGTCAGGAACAACAGGAGTTGATTTTCCAGGGAAAGGAGACAGGACTGCCACCCAGCTGAGAGCTCTGGGGCCTTGCTGGACACCACATCTGTTCTGCCCACCTCCAACACCTGCTTCAGAAGAAGGCATGGTGGGAACTCCCTGCCAGGAGCCATGGACGAGCGCAGTCGAGGAGGGTCCCTTGAAGATGTGTCACCCCGGGTTTGTCAAGTGCATGGCCTTTTCCCCAAGTAGGACCCACCATCACCACGCCCTACAAGAGCCAGCCCTGCCCCTTCCCTTAGTGATGAAGGTCCTAGGGGTGCATGGAGGCAGTGACCAGTGGACCCTCCTGAGGGGGGCTGGCAGCTCAAAGGAAGGTTCCAGACTCAAAGAGGCCTAGGGCCAAAATGCTGGCTGGTGTTAGCCTCCTGCACAGCAGCCTCACACTGCCCACGGGTTCACAGTGGACAGTGTGGGGAGCTCAGGGGCAGCCTGGGATGAAACCCAGAAATGCACATTTCTGTCCCCTTTGAGCGTCACCTTATAAAACCACACCCTTTCTGGGAAATGACGAAAGTGCTAAGCTGAGGGCATCTCTTGCTCTCACATGCAGCTGGCAGTTTAATTGGGGCGACCTTCATGCAGAGCCATTTGGGAACAGCTACCAAATGGAAAATGCACACACCCTCTGACACAGCAATTCTGCCAGGAATACATCCTACAGACACACTCCCAGAACCGTGCTAAAGGGATGTTCAAGAATGGACACGGCAGTTTTGTTTACAGTGGCTTAAACACCAGAAAATCTCTATCCATGGGGATAGGTTGCACAGGCTAGGGTTTCTCTCTTCCCTGTATATCAGGGGATTGTGCACAGCTTAAAAAAGAGGTGCAGCTGTAGGTCTGAGTAGAGAAAAAGATCTACATTTTAAAGGGGAAAACACTGCAGGGTAAGATGTCCAGTGAGATCCCAGTAACAAAAAATAGTAAGGCCTGTATGTGAATCAAACAGGTTGAAATGGTTACTCTAAGTACCTGCCTGTGCAGTTGGAAGTTTTACCTTGTACATATGTTGGTTTTTTTTAGAGACATTTAGAGCTGGCCAAACAGCCACGTACTCCTCCTCCGCATTTCCCTGCAGTTGGCTTGTCCCTGCAGCGACTACCTCTGGCCAGTGGGCTGTGGGTGGGATTGAGGAGTGTCCCTGCGGCTGAGGCAGTCCCCAAGCAAACCCCCAGCACACGCTTTCAAGACTGTCCATGGCGGAGGTGTACGGTAGAGGAGGGTGGCTCCATCGGACCGCGCTCTATGTGAGCCACAGAACAGTCTCTGTTTTCAGCTACTGCGCGTTAGTCTGTCGCTGCAGCAGAGCCTAGCCGCAGCAGTCACACAAATGCACGCGAGACGGCACCTCTCTAGGACGTGACTCCCACCTCTCCCGAGATGAGACCCGTCTGCGGTGCTCTGTGGGGATGCAGCTCCTTGGCTGGGCCTAGAGTGGGCCCCCTCTGTCCCCTGAGGGGTTTGCAAAGAGGTCCTGGAGAACACAGGCCTCAGTCCCACCCTAGAGGGGAGCCAGGTTAGCTCTAGTGACAGGACACGTTAGACCACGAGGTGCCCTGTGTTGGAGGGAGCATCTGGCTGCCTCTCTGCAGCTCATGCCTCTCTCTGCATCTGCTTCCCTCAGCCCAGGGGATCAGCCAGCCTGGGGGACCACCCCCTTCTTGGGGGTCAGAACCTATCCCTGGGCCCTGGACACTCACCACAAACTGACTGTTGACCTTCTCCAGGATCTGCTTCTCGTTGAGGGCCATGGACTCCCCTTTCCGCTTTTTGATCCTCTTCTTCTCCAGGCGCTTGCACGCATACATCTTACCTGTGGCCCGAACCTGGCAGGCGCAGACCTGAGGTGCAAGGAAGAAGCCAAGTAGAGGACGCCTGAAGACCAGCCCCAAGCTTCCCCAAGGCCAGGACGCTGGACTGGGGGCTGGGAACCGATGGGGCCCAAGCCTGGCCTTGCTCCCAGCCACAGGACACGCCGCCCCTGGCCTCGGGCCTGCTGACACCATGGGCCCTGCCCTCAAGACCTGGCTTAAATTCCTCTCCCACCCCTGGGCAATCCTAGGCCCTGAAGGTGTAAACACCACTCTTTCGGTGACTAGCCTAGGCCTAAAGTACTGTCTGTCTTTCAGGGGCCAAGCTTCCAACCAGATGCAGCCATTGCTAACTGGGAACAACTTTCGAGCACCAGCTGCTGTTAAGAGAGGCTAGTTTTGGGGCCAGTAACTGGAGGCCCCCACGAACCCTGATTTCCTGATTCAGAGGAATGGAAGGCAGAGCATTTGTGTTCTAGTCTCAGTTCTGCCCACTATTGGTCGTACGACTTTGGCTGGGTCATGTAACCATTCTGAACCTCAGCTTTCCACATCTCTAAAATGGGCACAAGGCTTCCCTCACATACTGGGAAGATTGCACAGACCACAGCTCATATTAACAGCATCATCAGGCCTAGTTGCTTAGGCCCCTCACGCCCTCCCTTCTCCCTCCAAACACAGCCAAGTGTACCCATTTCTCATCTCCAGACGGGTGCCCTGCCTGAGGCCGGCTTCAAGAGCACCTCTGACTCGCTGGCCTCAGACACTGAGGGCTGCTCCACGACCTCCCTGCGCACCGCCGACACCGCGGAGGTTCCCAAGGCCCTGAGCCTCGCCCTCCCCCTCCACCAGGGGGCGCAACACCGAGCCGCTCGCGCCCAAGCCCTGCAGAGAGCCGCTTAAGCGGACCCAGAGGGACGAAAAAGGTGGCTAGAATACGGCAACTTTCAACGGAATACACGGATGTTCACTCACCTCCCCGAAGCCCCCTTTGCCGAGTACTCTGTACTGCCTGAAAGTGTTTTTGGTTACCGGTTGTCTGGAAAAAAAGCAAGAACCCGACATTGGTCTCATGGTGTGAAGATGCAGACCCGGTTTGAACCGGACACGGCGGCAGTGGCAGCAGCCCGCGTGAGCTCTGGGGGCCCTGGGAATCCCAGCTGCGGACCGACCCTCAAGGAATTGCTCCGGGGCTGGTGTTCAAATCCCAGGCCTGCTCGAAGGGAAGAGCAGAGGCTTGCAGAACGCGAACCGAAGCTGCTCGCTGCACTTTCCGTGTCCTTCCCTCCCGCTCCCAAATGAAAACCAGGCGGCAAAACGCAGAAGGACGCTGCGTCCTCTGGGAGAGGCAAGGGGGCCAGAAGCCACAGAGGTTCGGTGACCCTCGGACACGAAAGAGAGCACGGCCCCCGCACACCCGCACACCTCGGCCGGGAGGCCGGCCGGCCGGCCCTCCCTGGCCCCAGGAGCCCAGCTGTTCCCTCCCGCGGACCCACGCCTGTGCCCCCAGCTACTCAGGCGGCCCAGGCCGCTGGTCTCGGCAGTCTCACCCTGGGTTCCCAGCCTCCAGCCCTGGGGGCCCCCTTTATTATATTTCTTGCCCCCATGGCTCCAGAACATGAGAAGATCCTGTCTGGCAAATTTTATGAAGTATTTATGCTGCATTTATGAAGTAATAATCACTTCGTCTCTCCTGACTCCCCGTTTTAATTATCTAAGGCCATGCATAACGTCTAACGAGACAGACCCTCTGATCATGAGTCAAGGATGGGACTGGGGGAGTAAACAGTTACCTAGTTGCCCCCAGGAACTCTGGGTTAAAGAGAGCTTGTGGTGTTTCGTCATAGGCCTGTTTGGCTAAGAATAACCAGCTTTTATTTTTTTCAGCTATTGAGGCATAATGGACAAATGGTATACAATTGATGTCTTGATAAATGTGTACATTGTGAAATGATCACCACAATCAAGCTAATTAACATTGCACTACATCACACTTAACCATTTCCCCCTCTCACCTTCCCTCTTTGTCTCTGTTTCTCTCTGGTGAAAACACTGCAGATATAACCTCTTAGCAAATTGCAGGCTTATGTTCTACATGCTATAGTCACCAGGCTGTACATTACATCTCCAGAGCTTATGCATCCTGCACAACTGAAACATCTGTCCCCCTGACCCATACCTGCCCATTTCCTTCACCCCGCAACCCCCAGCCCCCAAGGAAAAACATTCTACTCTCTGTTTCTATGAATTTGACATTTTAGATTCCACAAGTAAATGAGATCATGCACTATTTTGTCTTTCTGTGTCTGGCTTATTTCACTTAGCATGATGTCCTCCAAGTTCATCCATGTTGTCTCAAATGGCAGGATTTCTCTTTTTTTTTTAAGGCTGAATAATATTCCATTGTATATATGCACCACCTTTCACCTCCATGTTTACTGCGTTATTCACAATGGCCAAGATATTTTAATGGGTAAAGAATAATCCGCTTTTATGATGTGAAAACTGGCTCTTGGATCTGCAGGACTATTTCTGTGCATCTCCCAACCCCACCCCAGAGTCCTGAGCAGGGCAGGGACAGGAAGGAGACTAAACTGGCCCAAAGAAGTGGGTCAACCTGAGAAAGACTCATGAGCCTCTGCCCACCAGCAGCTTTTGAGTGAATCTTCTGTGGACACTGAAGATTCTGGCTGCTGGGTCCTGAAGAGGATTCGGATTTCACTGGAAATCACACCTCTGGCAACACACTGCTCTCTCGGGACAGCCCTGAAAATCCCAGGGTGCTCTCTGGCCCGCCTGTCTGGAATTCATGTGCCCGTGACTCACTCTCTCTTCCCTGGTGTTCCTTTAGGAAGCAGGGCCCAGTCCTAGGACTCTCCACCGCTCTGTATCTTGTTTCCACACATGAGCAGCCTGTGCCATAGAGAAACCTGCCATGCGCCTGCCTCCGCCATGTGGCCCCGGGAGGCGTTTCCTCTCGCTGCCCTCGAAACCACATGAAGGCCTCCGGGCCTAACAGTTTACGATACACAGAGAACAAACAGTTGGCCGACATCACCGCAGGACTCCTCTGCTAGAGGAAATGAGTGTAATACAATTTCCGAGGAATTTCTTGGTTAACCTTGGGAGGGAAAAAAATCCCTTTAATATTTCAACAGTACAGCACTAACAGGCTGTGAGCTTGCTAGCGAAAAAAAACAAAGCGGGGTAAGGCGGGTGCTATTAGGCATCTGAGGCATTTCTAGACCAGGGTCCTGCCCTGCTGGCTTCAACAACTTAATGCCCTCAACGGGGCATAAGTTCTTTGCAGTCAGCACATGGATTTTAAAAGTTTGTTTTTCTGTCTTTCCATTTCAGGTGCTGGGTACAGGCAAGTAAAACAAAAGACAGTAGCCACAGCTGAAGGATTCTATTGGAATGGGAGTGCTGAGTGGATAAAGGGTGAAGTACTTAAGAGAAAGACCTTGGATTCAAGTTCCAGCCTTGCCAGGCCCTTGCTGTGTGACCCAGGGCCAACCCATCAACCTCTCTGAGCCTTACATCTTCAGTAAAATAGATTTAAAGGCACCTGCATCTGAAGGCTCTTTCTAAGCTGCTGTGAATGTCATTATAGAACTCTAGGAATAAAGGACATGGTCCCCTCTGGGGTCTTTATAGTAACAACCCCCACTGCTCAAAGCACCTTGTACAGAGACTAACGTGATCCTTACACCGGCCTCAGGAGGTGAGACTATTGCTGTCCCATTCTGCAGATGGCAATGTTTAGGCTCCAAGAGGTGGAATGAGTAGCCCAAGGTCATGGATGGTAAGTAGTGGGGTTGGAACTGGAGCCTGGGCAGCCTGCTCCAGAGCCCACGCTCTGCGTGCCCATCCCACATTGCTATTCGGGGAAGGCGGGTGCAGATAAGGGCATGTGTTATACAGTCCAGGGCTCCAAGAAGGGCCGTGGGGCTTGAAGAATACATCCCTGTGATCATCAGAACCAGCTGCTCCTTCCGATATCAGACGAGTGGGGATGAGGACGTGGTAATGCTGATGATCCCGGTGACAATCACAGCTATTCTCAGTTTACTTTCTGAGGCCAGTTGGCTAACTTTGGTTGAACACTTGCCTTGTTCTCGGCATGGACTATACTTATCTCATCCTCACCCAAGCCTACAAAGGCAGATGCTATTATTATCCTCACTTTACAGATGAGGAAACCGAGGCTTGGTGAGGTGAGCAACCTTTCCCAAGGCCCCTCTAGAGGACGCTGAGCCAGGCTGTGGGTGCCCGGGCTGCCCCATCCCTTCTCCGGCCCTCATGGAGCCATGATGACATTTGCAAGGTGGCCAACACAGAAGGCTGTCAGCTGCTCACTGTCATCCTCACCAGTCAAGGTAGAGAGAAACATCCCCCAGCGGCAGTAGAGGGGGTGTTTTCCTCTGGGTTTCCTGAAGTGGGCAGGGAGGGGTATGAAGAGGACTTTAAGGGGGGCTCTGTCCTGCAGCTTCCTGAGTGTCTGCAGGGGACTCAGCCAGCAAAGGGGCTAATGTCTCCTAGCTCTCTAACCACAGGGTCTGTGAGTGCCTGGCCTCTGGGGCGCAGGGACCCCTGGGCTATGGAAGAAGAGATCCCACCCTTGTTTACCAGCTTAGCCCAGCAGGGCTTTAATGCAGGCACTGCCCTGTCCTGCAAATCCTGGCATGTGTGGCAGGCAGAGCCCTGCACTGAGGGTCCTGGGCCAGGGTTCCCCATCGGCTGCACTACTGGCCTGCTGGGGGAAGAGGCAGGGCCACATCCTCCTTGTGGCTCCCCTTCCTTCTCAGTAACACGAGGTCACATCTGCCAGGCCAAGTCACTGCCGTGCATGTGAGAGCACTTCGCAGAGAATCAGGAAGCAAATAAAACATGAAAAAGATGCTCAGTCTCACCCATTAGAGATGAAAAGATGAAACAAGAAGGAAACCCCGCTGCTCACATGGGGAACAGGAAAACAAGAACCGTGTTGATGAGGCGGAGGGGAAGTGGGTGCTGGGGCACTCGCATAAGCAGAAATGGGGGAGGGTATAGCAGTCCTTCAGTTTAAACTTAGTGCTTTTTGACTGTGGATGTATTTGCACAAGTACATAAAGGTATATGTACAGTGCTATTCGTTACTTTGGGAAGGTTGCACATAAAACTGAGAGCAACCTCTATATCCACCAATAGGGAATTGGGCTAAATAAGGGCTGTGCAGCTCATTCAAAGAATATGCAGCTCTTTATCTGCTGAATGTTGCTGAGCTCAAATTTAGGCAGCTCTTTACTTTTCTGCCCACTATTGGTCGTACGACTTTGGCTGGGTCATGTAACCATTCTGAACCTCAGCTTTCCACATCTCTAAAATGGGCACAAGGCTTCCCTCACATACTGGGAAGATTGCACAGACCACAGCTCATATTAACAGCATCATCAGGCCTAGTTGCTTAGGCCCCTCACGCCCTCCCTTCTCCCTCCAAACACAGCCAAGTGTACCCATTTCTCATCTCCAGACGGGTGCCCTGCCTGAGGCCGGCTTCAAGAGCACCTCTGACTCGCTGGCCTCAGACACTGAGGGCTGCTCCACGACCTCCCTGCGCACCGCCGACACCGCGGAGGTTCCCAAGGCCCTGAGCCTCGCCCTCCCCCTCCACCAGGGGGCGCAACACCGAGCCGCTCGCGCCCAAGCCCTGCAGAGAGCCGCTTAAGCGGACCCAGAGGGACGAAAAAGGTGGCTAGAATACGGCAACTTTCAACGGAATACACGGATGTTCACTCACCTCCCCGAAGCCCCCTTTGCCGAGTACTCTGTACTGCCTGAAAGTGTTTTTGGTTACCGGTTGTCTGGAAAAAAAGCAAGAACCCGACATTGGTCTCATGGTGTGAAGATGCAGACCCGGTTTGAACCGGACACGGCGGCAGTGGCAGCAGCCCGCGTGAGCTCTGGGGGCCCTGGGAATCCCAGCTGCGGACCGACCCTCAAGGAATTGCTCCGGGGCTGGTGTTCAAATCCCAGGCCTGCTCGAAGGGAAGAGCAGAGGCTTGCAGAACGCGAACCGAAGCTGCTCGCTGCACTTTCCGTGTCCTTCCCTCCCGCTCCCAAATGAAAACCAGGCGGCAAAACGCAGAAGGACGCTGCGTCCTCTGGGAGAGGCAAGGGGGCCAGAAGCCACAGAGGTTCGGTGACCCTCGGACACGAAAGAGAGCACGGCCCCCGCACACCCGCACACCTCGGCCGGGAGGCCGGCCGGCCGGCCCTCCCTGGCCCCAGGAGCCCAGCTGTTCCCTCCCGCGGACCCACGCCTGTGCCCCCAGCTACTCAGGCGGCCCAGGCCGCTGGTCTCGGCAGTCTCACCCTGGGTTCCCAGCCTCCAGCCCTGGGGGCCCCCTTTATTATATTTCTTGCCCCCATGGCTCCAGAACATGAGAAGATCCTGTCTGGCAAATTTTATGAAGTATTTATGCTGCATTTATGAAGTAATAATCACTTCGTCTCTCCTGACTCCCCGTTTTAATTATCTAAGGCCATGCATAACGTCTAACGAGACAGACCCTCTGATCATGAGTCAAGGATGGGACTGGGGGAGTAAACAGTTACCTAGTTGCCCCCAGGAACTCTGGGTTAAAGAGAGCTTGTGGTGTTTCGTCATAGGCCTGTTTGGCTAAGAATAACCAGCTTTTATTTTTTTCAGCTATTGAGGCATAATGGACAAATGGTATACAATTGATGTCTTGATAAATGTGTACATTGTGAAATGATCACCACAATCAAGCTAATTAACATTGCACTACATCACACTTAACCATTTCCCCCTCTCACCTTCCCTCTTTGTCTCTGTTTCTCTCTGGTGAAAACACTGCAGATATAACCTCTTAGCAAATTGCAGGCTTATGTTCTACATGCTATAGTCACCAGGCTGTACATTACATCTCCAGAGCTTATGCATCCTGCACAACTGAAACATCTGTCCCCCTGACCCATACCTGCCCATTTCCTTCACCCCGCAACCCCCAGCCCCCAAGGAAAAACATTCTACTCTCTGTTTCTATGAATTTGACATTTTAGATTCCACAAGTAAATGAGATCATGCACTATTTTGTCTTTCTGTGTCTGGCTTATTTCACTTAGCATGATGTCCTCCAAGTTCATCCATGTTGTCTCAAATGGCAGGATTTCTCTTTTTTTTTTAAGGCTGAATAATATTCCATTGTATATATGCACCACCTTTCACCTCCATGTTTACTGCGTTATTCACAATGGCCAAGATATTTTAATGGGTAAAGAATAATCCGCTTTTATGATGTGAAAACTGGCTCTTGGATCTGCAGGACTATTTCTGTGCATCTCCCAACCCCACCCCAGAGTCCTGAGCAGGGCAGGGACAGGAAGGAGACTAAACTGGCCCAAAGAAGTGGGTCAACCTGAGAAAGACTCATGAGCCTCTGCCCACCAGCAGCTTTTGAGTGAATCTTCTGTGGACACTGAAGATTCTGGCTGCTGGGTCCTGAAGAGGATTCGGATTTCACTGGAAATCACACCTCTGGCAACACACTGCTCTCTCGGGACAGCCCTGAAAATCCCAGGGTGCTCTCTGGCCCGCCTGTCTGGAATTCATGTGCCCGTGACTCACTCTCTCTTCCCTGGTGTTCCTTTAGGAAGCAGGGCCCAGTCCTAGGACTCTCCACCGCTCTGTATCTTGTTTCCACACATGAGCAGCCTGTGCCATAGAGAAACCTGCCATGCGCCTGCCTCCGCCATGTGGCCCCGGGAGGCGTTTCCTCTCGCTGCCCTCGAAACCACATGAAGGCCTCCGGGCCTAACAGTTTACGATACACAGAGAACAAACAGTTGGCCGACATCACCGCAGGACTCCTCTGCTAGAGGAAATGAGTGTAATACAATTTCCGAGGAATTTCTTGGTTAACCTTGGGAGGGAAAAAAATCCCTTTAATATTTCAACAGTACAGCACTAACAGGCTGTGAGCTTGCTAGCGAAAAAAAACAAAGCGGGGTAAGGCGGGTGCTATTAGGCATCTGAGGCATTTCTAGACCAGGGTCCTGCCCTGCTGGCTTCAACAACTTAATGCCCTCAACGGGGCATAAGTTCTTTGCAGTCAGCACATGGATTTTAAAAGTTTGTTTTTCTGTCTTTCCATTTCAGGTGCTGGGTACAGGCAAGTAAAACAAAAGACAGTAGCCACAGCTGAAGGATTCTATTGGAATGGGAGTGCTGAGTGGATAAAGGGTGAAGTACTTAAGAGAAAGACCTTGGATTCAAGTTCCAGCCTTGCCAGGCCCTTGCTGTGTGACCCAGGGCCAACCCATCAACCTCTCTGAGCCTTACATCTTCAGTAAAATAGATTTAAAGGCACCTGCATCTGAAGGCTCTTTCTAAGCTGCTGTGAATGTCATTATAGAACTCTAGGAATAAAGGACATGGTCCCCTCTGGGGTCTTTATAGTAACAACCCCCACTGCTCAAAGCACCTTGTACAGAGACTAACGTGATCCTTACACCGGCCTCAGGAGGTGAGACTATTGCTGTCCCATTCTGCAGATGGCAATGTTTAGGCTCCAAGAGGTGGAATGAGTAGCCCAAGGTCATGGATGGTAAGTAGTGGGGTTGGAACTGGAGCCTGGGCAGCCTGCTCCAGAGCCCACGCTCTGCGTGCCCATCCCACATTGCTATTCGGGGAAGGCGGGTGCAGATAAGGGCATGTGTTATACAGTCCAGGGCTCCAAGAAGGGCCGTGGGGCTTGAAGAATACATCCCTGTGATCATCAGAACCAGCTGCTCCTTCCGATATCAGACGAGTGGGGATGAGGACGTGGTAATGCTGATGATCCCGGTGACAATCACAGCTATTCTCAGTTTACTTTCTGAGGCCAGTTGGCTAACTTTGGTTGAACACTTGCCTTGTTCTCGGCATGGACTATACTTATCTCATCCTCACCCAAGCCTACAAAGGCAGATGCTATTATTATCCTCACTTTACAGATGAGGAAACCGAGGCTTGGTGAGGTGAGCAACCTTTCCCAAGGCCCCTCTAGAGGACGCTGAGCCAGGCTGTGGGTGCCCGGGCTGCCCCATCCCTTCTCCGGCCCTCATGGAGCCATGATGACATTTGCAAGGTGGCCAACACAGAAGGCTGTCAGCTGCTCACTGTCATCCTCACCAGTCAAGGTAGAGAGAAACATCCCCCAGCGGCAGTAGAGGGGGTGTTTTCCTCTGGGTTTCCTGAAGTGGGCAGGGAGGGGTATGAAGAGGACTTTAAGGGGGGCTCTGTCCTGCAGCTTCCTGAGTGTCTGCAGGGGACTCAGCCAGCAAAGGGGCTAATGTCTCCTAGCTCTCTAACCACAGGGTCTGTGAGTGCCTGGCCTCTGGGGCGCAGGGACCCCTGGGCTATGGAAGAAGAGATCCCACCCTTGTTTACCAGCTTAGCCCAGCAGGGCTTTAATGCAGGCACTGCCCTGTCCTGCAAATCCTGGCATGTGTGGCAGGCAGAGCCCTGCACTGAGGGTCCTGGGCCAGGGTTCCCCATCGGCTGCACTACTGGCCTGCTGGGGGAAGAGGCAGGGCCACATCCTCCTTGTGGCTCCCCTTCCTTCTCAGTAACACGAGGTCACATCTGCCAGGCCAAGTCACTGCCGTGCATGTGAGAGCACTTCGCAGAGAATCAGGAAGCAAATAAAACATGAAAAAGATGCTCAGTCTCACCCATTAGAGATGAAAAGATGAAACAAGAAGGAAACCCCGCTGCTCACATGGGGAACAGGAAAACAAGAACCGTGTTGATGAGGCGGAGGGGAAGTGGGTGCTGGGGCACTCGCATAAGCAGAAATGGGGGAGGGTATAGCAGTCCTTCAGTTTAAACTTAGTGCTTTTTGACTGTGGATGTATTTGCACAAGTACATAAAGGTATATGTACAGTGCTATTCGTTACTTTGGGAAGGTTGCACATAAAACTGAGAGCAACCTCTATATCCACCAATAGGGAATTGGGCTAAATAAGGGCTGTGCAGCTCATTCAAAGAATATGCAGCTCTTTATCTGCTGAATGTTGCTGAGCTCAAATTTAGGCAGCTCTTTACTTAAACAATTCTCAAATATACTGAACCAAAAAAGTAAGAACAAGTGTGTGTATCTTCACGAGCATATGAGTGTGTGTGCACTTTAATAAGCTTAGATCATTTCTGGAATACACAGTAACTTAACAGGAGGAGGATGGTTATGTGATTTGAACCAAGGGCCCAGGGAGGTGATGGACTTTTATATGACCTCTCAGGTGAGAAACTTGTACCCTCCTGCCCTGCCTCCCACCCTGCCCAACACACACACATACACACACGCACGCACACACACTGGCACCTCCTTGAACCTGGGGTGTGCCAGGGGAGCGCTCACCTTTCCAACCACTTCCACTGGAGAAAGCGATCAAAATACATACTGTCCAGATACTCGTGGAATGGCTCTCCCTTCAGGTAGTCGTGGACAGACCTAACTCAGAGGGACCAAACAGATGAACATTTTATAATCCTGCTCGAGGCAGATGGGCAGAACCATACCCAGCAAGTCAATGCCTGGCTTCATGCATTTCTACTTGGGAAATGCAAACACACAAGGGCTTCACAACGAATGCGGCACGAGCAGCCACAGGCCCATTTTGCCTAAGTTTGAGATTGACTGGGTGATGCTGCAAAGGTTTACTGAGCACTCAGCTCTGGGGTACGGCAGTGGGCGTGCGGTAGGCAGGCACTAAGCTGGGGAACACAACTGGCAAGTAATGAGCATTAAATAAACAACCCCAGATGCATGTCGTCCTGCACTGGGGTAAGTGAGACCCCTGGGAGGTCAGGGAGAGCTCTCTCAAGAAAGGACTCTTCAACTTCGATGAGAACAGAGGAATACTTGAGTAGGTGCGGGCAGGACTGGGGCTCAGAGATGGTGGGTGATGGGGGCAGAATGCCCATGCAGCCCCCAGGGGCCCTGGCCCTGGCTCTGGAGTTGGTCCAGGGCCATGAATCCGCTGGGAGAGCTTCACCCCTGCAGCAGAATTTACTGGCCACCTGCTGGGGGCCAGTCCTGTGGGCTCTGAACCTGGCTACAGGCAGGGATGGGCTTTCCCCCTTTAAAAAGTGGCAATGCTGACCGATGTAGCCAAGGACTTGGGACCTGGGGGAGGGAAAGGACATATAGAGTGAGGCATGTTGGAAGCTGTGTCCTGCCAAACCTGAGGACAGGGCCAGCGTGGGGAACCAGGATGGCCACTGCCCAGGTCAGGGTGACAGCTCAGGGACCTCACCTGCGGTCAGACCCTTGGCCAGCTCCAGGAGGGCAGCAGCCAGGTCTGTTTCTGTTCACAGGGGTCTCTCACCTACACCTAACCCAGGGCTGGGCCCCAAGCAGGCCCTCCCTAAAGGTCTGCCCCCAGCTCTTCTACAGGCAAGGGGTTCTGGCTTGCTTGCTGGCTACCTGGTGAAGCTCTATGAAAGCCGGGACTGGGTTCTTGCTCACCGCAGTATCCTCCAGTACCCATCACAATGCCAGGCTCACAGCAGGCACCCAGCGAATGTGTGGTGCAAAGGCTGAACAAGAAGCCCCCAGACTTATCCAGCAGTGTGGGGTGATCTGGCCCCTGATGTCTCTTGGCCTGTACATATGTTTGTGTGTGTGCATATGTCAGCTACAGAGACGGGTGTGGGCATGGGCGCATGAACGTGCGTGCCTAGCTGCTCAGACCTTTCTGTGCATGTGTGCAGGATAGGCGGGGGCTTAACTGGGGCACAGCTGGCACCACACCCACCAGCTTCTCTCACATCCCACTGGGGTGGCTGTATGGCCCGCAGTGGGGTGATGGGGCCTTCCCAAAAAGGCAGCCTGCAGCCAGCAGCGTCAGAGACTCTAGTTGGCAGTGTGGGGGTTGGGGGTCTGGGCAGGATTTCTGAACCATCCAGACACATTCCTCTGTCTCAACAGCCTGGAGAGCCACTTGCTTTCAACACCCTTTGAAGCAGATGTTTTCTTTGGACTTGGCACCTGGGTATCTTTTCCCTGCATAAGAAGTATGCAAACAGCTGGGTGGCTTGGCTGGGGCCCTTGGGCACTGAAGACCTGCCCCCTGCCCAGCACCCCAGGTGGAGGCTGGAGCCCCTCTGCAGGGGGTGTGTGTGGCTGCCCTGGCAGCTGAGCGGCCTGAAGCCCTGTGGGAGGGAGGGAGGTGGCTGCACACTTACCGTACACAGGCAGAAAAGAGTTCTTTGCAGGGCTTCTGAAGGAGCTTCTCCTCTGTCTGAGAGGCCAGGTCCCGACCAACTTGGGCAATGAAGACTGGGGACTGGAGGAAGAGAAGGGGGTGCGTAGTGAAGGGGAAGGAGCAGGTGGGGGGCACTCAGTGGGGACACAGTGGTGCCCCCGCTGCCCACGCATGGCCCTGGGTTGGCTGGTGGGGCTGGAAGGTGGTGAGCGAGCTCAGACGTAGGGTCAGGTTTCTGGCCCTGCTAACGTTCATTTTCTGTGGCTTCATGGAAGTCACAGGGCTCCTCTGTGCTGCCCTCATCCACAGAACATGGACAACCATGTTCCCGTGCCCTGAGCTTATGGTCATAACTGAAGGACGTGTGCACAGTGTTGGGAGCAGGACCCCAGCCATCAGTAAGCCCGAGCCTGCTGGCATCCCTTGGCCATGGGAGGATGTCCCTCAGCCATGGGGTCCTGTCTCCTCCAAGGGCCGCCTCAAGATCACATGTAAAGTGTCTGGAACCAGCCAAAGGGCAAGGGGAGGGCAGCGGTGCTCAGTTCTGAGGGCACAGCTTTCAGCTGACAGACCTGGGTTCGAATCCCCGATCACTTTGTAACTATGGTACCTTGGTTTTGACAGCTTGGCCTCAGTTATCAGAAAGATGGTCAAGAGTAATAGTTTCTCCAAGTATTTGGCCCAGATCCTGGCACGCAGTAGAAAGCACGCAATAAATGTCCCAGTCACTTTGTTCTCCCAGGCTAACTGCCTGCCCGGGTAGGTCAAGTTTGAGAGGGCAGCTCCAAGAGGTCCCGCGTCCTGCCCAGAGGCAGCAGCCCTCGCTGGGCTGGTAGCCTCTCCCCTCACCATTCAATTCACCTCCCACCAGGTGTTACTCACCAGGCCACAAGGTGATTTTTAATAAATTACAGGGATAATTGAGAAAATTACTGGGAGTGGGCTCAGAAAGACAGGTGTAGACACATCTTTCTTCCCCAAAGAGGATGAAGTCTGAAAGGATTGCTTTTCCTCTCCAGCTATTGCAATATGACAACAGGGCTGTTACTCTGCTAAGCCCATGGCGGAGTCTGTGGGAGTCACCCTGGGGGTGAAGGGGTGCCTGCGCAGCAGCCTAGCAAGGCCCTTGGGAATGAAATCAGTCCTCCGTCTCTGTTCCGACTGTGCAGGCCTGAGTTCCCTCCTTGGCTCTCCTAGGCCCTGCCCTCTCTGCAGGCTTTCCCTGGCCCCCGTTGGGGAGCCTCAGGTGTTGGGGCAGCCGCCGTAATGGCAAATGGCACCAGTCGCGCAACTGCAAGCAAAGCCAGTCACACCACACAGCAGGCTTGTTAGTATCACTGTTCTGGGTGGTGGGGCTCCCTCTTCCTGGCCATCCCCGTGCCCTGGACCATCCTTCTTTCCCCACACTAGAAGCTTGGTGAAGGAGACTGTAGATGGGCAACTTCTACAGCACCAGCTCCTGCGACAACTGCTGCTCCTTTTGCAGAGAAGATGCTCGATGTTGCAGAAACCCTGGACCAAGAGGCCGGAGCCCTGAGCACCGGTCAGCCCTGTTCCCTTGGTCTTTTTGTGCCTCCATCTCCTCCTCTGTAGCAGGAAGGAGCTGCTCGAGATGCGCTAACAGTCCTTCAAGACTTGGGAATTGATGATCGGGGTTTTTTTGCCTCCACGACTTGGGGAACTTTCTTGGGAATTCTGGCAGCTGCATCTCTTGGGGATCAATTACTCCAGGCTACTTCACAGCCATCAGATATTAGAACGAACCCCAAGGCTGTGGGCAAATCTGCTTCAGGAAGAGAGCTGAAGGCTGCGGCAACCTTGGTGGAAGGGACCCAGGGCCTGGCACAGAATTGGCACCAACTGTATACTTGTGAGCTGAAACAATGTGCTACGCCTGGATGTGACTTGTACCTGGGGGTGAGTCAGCAAAGACCAAACAGAGGTCCTGGGTGGGTGGGCCATGGGGAGAAACAGAACCACGTCTTGGGCCTCAAAGCAGCACTTGAGTGGCCGACCCGTGTGCACTCAGGTGCAGCCCAGCTTTGTCATCAGATCTCATGTTGGGGGGAACCCACCCTTAGTAGGCCTGGTGGTGGGCGCATTGTGCAGAAGGCGGAGCGTTTAAGGTGAAGCCACTGTGGCCTTTGACCTCAAAGCACTTTTTCTCCAGTAAGACATAAACAAAATAAGGTAATATCCTAACAGAAAAGTTATTTCACCTTTCTTGGTGTATGGGGAGATGTATGAGGTGGGCTGGTTGGAACTCCATGGCTCTCAAACTTTTTTTTTTTTTTTTTTTAGTAGCAAGCTTTTCTCCTACTCCAAATTAAATTTATCCATAGACCCAATATTTAAAACCAATAGAAATAATATAATGGGTAGCAACAGTTTAGCTATACTGATGGCCAATGCTGGTCAGGAATAGTGCAAAATACTTTACATGCATTATTTCATTTACTCGTCATTGCGACTCTGTAAGGGAGATACTATTAGGATGCTCGTTTGCAGATGAGGAAATGGAGTCCCAGAAGGTTAAGTCATTTGCCCAAAGTCACCCAGCCAGTTAAGTGGCAGAGAGGGGCTTTGAACCCAGGTTGGGTGGGTCTAGAATGAGTCTGGTTGGAGGTGATGGGGTGTCTGGGCCACCTGTGCTCCTGTCACACACTCTCCATCTCCCGGGCCACTGAGGTGTGACATGAGCCTCTGAGCTGCCAGGGCACCATGAGGCCTCCAGCAGAGGCAGGCAGAACTTATGTGGAAGATGACACAGCTCCGGGCAATGAGCTGCTGGCCTCCGAGAAGAGCAAGATCACTACAGTGGGATCATCTGGGCAAGGCTTTACAGACGACTGGGTCAGGGGCAAAGCGTAATTTGGCCTTAGACCTCCAGCGCCCTATAGGCCCTCCCATCGAGGACAGCCATGCAGGTTCCCTTGTCTGCCATACTCTGCTTCCCCCTAAGCAGATGGGAGGGGCTGTCCAGGGTCTAGGGGTGACTCAGCTGTGTGCACGAAGTCACACCACTCCCATTCTTTGGGGCTGGCTGGCAGGAGGGCTCTGGGGACAGTGCCCACAGTCACAGCCCTGATGGAGTTAATGAGCAGTAATAATGCGTTTGGTTTAATGACCATGGGTTTAAACTCAGTTTCTGGCTCCACATGAAGAGATTAAACGATTCCAACCAAAGCCCCTTTCAAGTGACTCCAGGGAGTGAAGCCTTTGCCAATAAGGGAGTAAGAGGCTGGTGGCCAGTTCGGGCCGCGAACTGAAACCAAACCTGCCGGGAGGGCCAGTGGGGCAGCTGCTTTCAGGGACATTTCAGGGGGACATTTGCTATTTGCATCAGTGGAACGGGAGAGTGTTGGTCCTTCTCCAATTCAGAGAAGTCAGCTGCAGAGGGAGACTCATTAAGAAAGTTCTGCCCAGCCTGCACGCACAGTCTGACACGCATCATGTAAGAAAAGGGGGTCCCAGTAACTACAGCCGCTGCAATCCATCCCCTGCACCTTGAAGGCAGGGGAACTCCAAGGGGGTTTTGATCTTGTCCCAGCAAGCTCACCCCTTCTGGTCCCAGGAGGCCTATGGGGTGAGCTGGGGAAGGGAGGGGTGGGTCACATAGGCTGGAGGGGACTCTGACAGGAATGTCATCCTCATGGTGCTGGGGCTTGGGAATACCAAGGGACTACGGCTGGGCAGTGCGGTGGCTTCTTCCAGCAGGGACTGTCCCTCTGGGACCATTAAGAAGCTAAGGGTCTGGGTGGGGAGGAGGGATGGACACCATTCTCCACCATGTCAAAGATGTCCCCCTAATTTTTAACCAAACAGAAAAGGCCCCAAGGCCCTTAGCTATTTGCAGGGCTGAAAGCAGCCAGGAGAAAGGGTCCTGGTGGAGGTCTCTGGTAAAACTCCCCCTGGGCCCCCTCAGGCTAGCAGTGCTTTGAAGTGACACTATGTTCTTTGGTTACCAGATGGTTTCCCCAAGTAGCTCCAGCCTGCAGACCTCACCTTTAACACAACACTGTGAGTTTAGGCACCAAAGTCCCTTTGAAATGGGTGGAATGAGCTCGTATAGGAAGGAGTGGGGACAGTGTTTCTCTGCTAGACGCCCCAGCACAATGCCTGGCCTCCTGATGGTCGTGAGCACTGAAGCCAACCAGCTGGCCAGCTTCAATGTGACCATCTGCCAGTAAGTCCACTCTGCTGACAGTCAGGATGACGCCCAGTTGCCCTTCAGGAGGGCTCCATGGCCAACTCCTGGGACAGCTTAAGACAGCAAGACATGCCTTAGGGACACAGTTACGTTCACCCAAGGCTGCTGACCAGAAAGCTCGCTCCCCTCTGGCCAGATGAGCAAGGACTTGGCTTCCTCAAGGAACTGTAGGCCGCAGGGACCACCCTTCCTGCCTCTGAAATCATGTCTGGAATAAGAGGATCTCATTTGCCTCCCCCTTTGGCTAAGGGTCCTTCCGATCTGTCCCCGTAGCTGGGGGGAACAGAGGTGGCATTGAAGCTTGGGTGTGCTTTATTCACTCTCTGGGAGTCTGTGCCTCTGGACAAAAGCCCCCTTCACTGGAGGGGAAGGAGCCTGCTCCGCCTCCCGCTTTGGAATGAGAAGATGACCTCCGTCCCAGAGGAACTTGGGCTCGCACTTGCACAGGGCTAGGATGCCAGCAGCTCCTGCTGTGAGGACGGACTCGGCCCATGTGCCAGGCTGCGACCGCCCCTAGGAATCCCTCAGAATGTTCGCGCCTTCTTACCGCCTCCCCCTACGGCTCAGACTCACGCTGCCGCTCCTGAGGCTTGTGCCATGGGCTCCCCGCTCTCTGTTAGCCGGGACATACCCCGCAGGCAGCAAGCAGCGGAGGCACCACTGTGAATGGAAGGAGGGCGAGTCTGTGAGATGGACGAAGGGGTCTCGGTGGGCTTGGGATCTTCACTCTTCGCGGAGCCCCTCTCCTCCCGTTTGTCCTCATCCCTCCAACTGTTCTCAGTGCCCTCATGCTGCCTCCACTGCCCTGAACTTCGTGGCCCTGAACTTCGACATGTGGCCTAGGCCAGAGCTCTCATCCCCTGCTGCGTCA